TTTTATTTTTTTTATTTCATTCTCGTTAAACCCTTTCAGTGATTTTCCAGTCGTAGGTTGTTTTTATGTGTACTATGTTTCTCTTGAATGTTCTGTTGTGTTAATTTATTGTTAGCTAGAGGTGTGTGTGTGTGTGTTTGTGTGTCATATCCTATGACTATAAGTGTTGTCTTCTTGTTGCCTTTGTCAATGTAGTGACAGTTTTCGTGTTTTATGTGAAGTTTTATATGGTTTTAGGGGAGAATGATCTAATCTGCTCAGCATTTTATTCAATCTTGATTCATGAGTTGTCTCTGGAAAAGCTTATTGTATGCGTTTCGTATATGATGTATCCTTTTACATTCTGCAGGGAAGCTCGATAAGTTGATGTGTTCGACCACTGTGAACTTTACATTTTTTACTTAGTCTTACAAATTCATATGAGAAAGCAGAAAAGGTCTATTAGTTTAGTTGCATTTCTTCATAAATTACTATTAGCAGTACATCCAACCGTGCAGTGCTAACTGTAAGAGAGTTTAATTGGAGAACATAGTTTCAAAAAATGTACGTACTTTTGGATTATGAAGGCGTATTGTGTCTGAGATGAAGATTTGGAGAATTAAATATGCATTTGTTCACGGAATCTTAACGCAAAATGTTCTTGACATCTTGTAAAAATTTATGTAGATTAAATCTGTTCACGAGCTAAGCGGTCAAACTTGCCAAATTTGTGGGGATGAGGTGGAGATAACCGATGATGGAGAACTCTTTGTGGCTTGCAATGAGTGTGCTTTCCCCGTTTGCAGAACTTGCTACGAGTACGAAAGGAAAGAGGGGAATCAAACTTGTCCTCAGTGCAAAACCAGATACAAGCGCATCAAAGGTTGACTGTTATTCCCTTTTTCGTTTTAAATTTGAAAAAGAAAAAAAACAATTGGGTTGTAGTTGAAAAGCTGAAATCTTTGTGTGTTGTGTTAACTAACATATGGTTTACATATTTGTCAGGGAGTGCTAGAGTTGAGGGTGATGATGATGAAGATGACATTGATGATCTTGAACATGAGTTCGATTATGGAGATATTGAGGACTCGGGCTTTCCTCAAAGTGCTGGTGCAATGAACTCGGCCCATGGTGGTGTTGCTGGGTCGAGTTCGAGGCCCGATTCGTCTTCACAGGGTCTTGAGATACCCCTTTTGACATATGGTGAAGAGGTAAAAGTAATGATTCTTTATCTTTCATATGTATGTGTGAAACTGTGAATGAGCAAGAATTGCTCTGATATTTTGTGCAAAAGAACCCGTATATACTAAAATTTTTGTGAAAAGAACCCATATATACTAAATAATCATTTTTTTGATTAACTATAGGATGCTGAGATTGCGAATAATCAGAATGCCATCATATTACCTCCATTCGCCAGTCATGGGAATGGTATTCATTCGACTCCAAACACAACAGCACCATGTAAGTTTGTTTCTCGCAATCTATTTTTCTTTTCACTATAAAATATTATCTACCATGTGGAAGATTTCTATATATATATACATATTTGTCTGACTCTGTATTTTTTTTTGGTAATTCCAGTGAATCCCCGACCTATGGTTCCAGAAAAAGACATTGCGTTATACGGATATGGAAGTGTAGCATGGAAGGACCGTATGGAAGAGTGGAAAAGGAGACAACATGATAAACTTCAAGTGGTGAAGCATCAAGGAGGAAATAATGATGGTGGGGACTTTGATGGAAGTGACCCCGATTTGCCTATGTAAGTAAATAGACAATATGCTAATGGACTTCTTATCTATATTCTTTGCATTGTCGAGCATGCAAATCACAATTGTCACTTTTGTTAGTAAATTTTTGTGTGTTGACTGTTCTGAAATTCAGGCATTAGTTTTATTTTTCATGTTAAGGGTGATTAAAATCCTTTGATATGCTTCAAGATATCTCTGTGTTCTTTTTTTTCTTTAAATTGTTTTAAAATATTAGGCAAAATATGCTGATTTATTCTTTGAAAATGTGGGTAGGATGGATGAAGGGAGGCAGCCGCTTTCGAGGAAATTGCCGATTGCTTCAAGCAAAATTAACCCTTACAGAATGATAATCGTTCTACGTCTTGTTGTTCTTGGCTTGTTCTTTCATTATAGGATTTTGAATCCAGTACCCGATGCATATGGCCTTTGGTTGACATCAGTTATTTGTGAAATATGGTTTGCTGTGTCATGGATACTTGATCAGTTCCCTAAATGGTATCCCATCGAGCGCGAAACATACCTCGATCGACTGTCACTTAGGTATATCAACTTTGCTAAAATCGGTAACCCCTTACTATATAGACGTCATTTTTTTTTTTTAAATTTGCTTAAAACATTTGTACAGGTATGAAAAAGAAGGGAAGCCCTCGGAGCTAGCAGATATAGACGTATACGTCAGCACTGTGGACCCCATGAAAGAGCCTCCTCTGATCACAGCAAACACGGTGCTTTCGATTCTGGCCGTTGATTATCCAGTTGATAAAGTATCGTGTTACGTCTCGGATGATGGTGCTGCCATGCTCACTTTCGAAGCTCTTTCCGAGACCTCCGAGTTTGCTCGTAAGTGGGTTCCCTTCTGTAAGAAGTTCAACATCGAACCGCGTGCACCCGAGTGGTACTTCTCTCAGAAGATTGACTATCTGAAGAACAAAGTTCATCCCGCCTTTGTTAGGGAGAGGCGTGCAATGAAGGTTTGTGTGTATTTTCATAATAAATATTTTTTATTCCTAATTTTTCGTTTTGCACCCTCCAAAGAGCTTAAGGGGTGGTATTTTGTAAATTTGATGCCACATTTGTTAATTGATTTCAGAGAGAGTATGAGGAGTTCAAAGTTCGGATCAATCGTCTCGTGGCCATGGCAGAGAAGGTTCCGGAAGAAGGCTGGACAATGCAGGATGGAACACCTTGGCCCGGTAATAATGTCAGGGATCATCCTGGTATGATCCAGGTTAGTGACAATTATAACCGAAAATCCTCTGCTAACTATCTTCTGGTCTGAGTTATCAGGTTGATTGGTGATTTTTTGTATGGATTTTAATATTCGGAGCTTCTTTCCGAACAGGTATTCCTTGGTCATGACGGTGTTCGTGATAATGAAGGGAATGTGCTGCCTCGACTGGTTTATGTTTCTCGTGAGAAGAGACCTGGTTTCGAGCATCACAAAAAAGCTGGCGCAATGAATGCACTGGTAACATATAAATTGTACAAAAAAGCTCGGTTACTACAAGTTATGAATTTAGCTTTATCATATGCATTTTTCTATTATTCTCCAGATTCGAGTTTCGGCAGTTCTTTCGAATGCTCCGTACCTTCTGAACGTCGACTGTGATCACTACATAAACAATAGCAAGGCTCTGAGAGAAGCCATGTGTTTCATGATGGACCCCACATTGGGAAAGAAAGTGTGCTACGTGCAGTTTCCACAGAGATTCGATGGAATTGACAGGCACGATCGATATTCGAATCGGAACGTGGTGTTTTTCGATGTATGTAGTGTTACTTTTTTTTTTTAAGTCATAACTCTATATATTTTACCAAATTATTTTTTTTGTTTTTTTTGCAATCAGATCAATATGAAGGGTTTGGATGGGTTGCAAGGGCCTATATATGTTGGTACCGGTTGTGTCTTTAGAAGGCAAGCGTTGTATGGATATGATGCGCCTGCTAAAAAGAAGAGGCCTAGCAAGACGTGTAACTGCTGGCCCAAGTGGTGCTGTTTTTGCTGTGGGTCCCGAAAGAAAAGGAACGGTAAAACGAAGAGAGATAAGAAGAAGTCGAAGTACAGAGAGGGTTCGAAGCAAATACATGCCCTTGAAACCATTGAAGAAGGGATTGAAGGTAAGAAGATGTCTTGTTTTGGAAAAAAAGACAAAGATCATGTTTGGTTGAATTGATTTATGAGGAAATTAATGTTGTTTTGCCTTTACAGAGACATCTACTGTCAGCCGACCCCTTATCCCCCAAGAAAAACTTGAGAAGAAGTTCGGTCAGTCCCCTGTATTTGTTGCTTCAACTTTACGGGAAAATGGTGTTCTTGAGGCAGTTAGTTCCACATCACTTCTGAAGGAGGCCATCCATGTCATTGGCTGTGGTTATGAAGATAAGACTGAATGGGGAAAAGAAGTACGTTATTTTGGTTGTGATTTGCATGCATGTAAATTGTTTTCTTTATTACATTCTTATATATAGTTCGTTACCTTCTAAAATTTTCCGAGTTGTCAAAAATCCAGGTGGGCTGGATATACGGCTCGGTCACAGAAGACATCTTGACCGGATTCAAAATGCACTGCCATGGATGGCGTTCGGTTTACTGCATGCCCAAGAGGCCAGCATTCAAAGGATCGGCTCCAATCAACCTTTCGGATCGTCTTCACCAAGTCCTCAGATGGGCTCTTGGTTCGGTCGAGATTTTCCTCAGCAAACACTGTCCGATATGGTACGGTTATGGTGGCGGATTGAAGTGGTTGGAAAGGTTTTCTTACATCAATTCGGTGGTTTATCCATGGACTTCTATTCCCTTGATCGTCTACTGTACTTTGCCGGCCATTTGTCTTCTCACCGGCAAATTCATTGTCCCCGAGGTACTTAGAAAAAAAAAAGTTGTTACAATGTTTTTAGGCTAAAAAGGCAATTTTAGTCTCTATTAGATTATTAAGTATGAAGGCAGCAATTTAGGTTTCACTCGAATGACATATAGCAATATAAGTCCTGTAATTTAATATTTTTGCTGCAATTTTAGTCAGCAGTAAAATCGCAATAAAATTTTAAATTACATGGCTTTTGAGATGGATTTTTATTAGAAATTTAAGTTGTGTCATTTAATATTTTGCAGACTGAAATTGCAGCAAAATATTAAATTTTGTTATATGTCAATCCAGTGAGACTTAAATTGTTACCTTCATAATTTAATAGGACAGAAATTGCACTTTAGCCATGTTTTTGCTACATGTTTGATTCTTTATCGTTGTCTGAACACAAACTAACTCTTTTTTTTTTGTTCGAAAAATAGATAAGCAACTACGCGAGCATTGTGTTCATGGCCTTATTCGTCTCGATTGCTGTCACGGGCGTGCTTGAGATGCAGTGGGGCCGTGTCGGAATCGACGACTGGTGGAGAAACGAGCAGTTTTGGGTCATCGGAGGTGTATCGTCTCATCTTTTCGCGCTCCTTCAAGGACTCCTCAAAGTCCTTGCTGGCGTAAGCACGAACTTCACCGTCACTTCAAAAGGTGGTGACGATGGCGAATTTTCCGAACTTTATGTCTTCAAGTGGACTTCCCTTCTAATCCCACCAACAACGCTGTTGATCATTAATATTGTGGGTGTTGTGGTGGGAGTGGCGGATGCTGTTAACAATGGGTACGACTCATGGGGCCCGCTTTTCGGGAGGCTGTTTTTCGCTGTGTGGGTGATTATGCATTTGTACCCGTTTTTGAAGGGGTTGACGGGGAAGCAGGATAGGATGCCAACTGTCATTGTTATCTGGTCGATTTTGCTGGCATCTATACTTACGCTCGTGTGGGTGAGGATAAACCCGTTTGTGTCGAGGGAGGGGCCGGTGCTTGAGATATGTGGTTTAAATTGCGATGATTGATTTCTTTTTTTTTGGGTTTTAGCATTTTATCTCGAACGTTCTTTTTTTGCGTTCGGATTTGATGTAGCGAAAGGTAGAATAAGGAACGTCGATTTTTATAGGAGAAGGATGTGTGTGTAGATATGATGCACTGATATTTTTTTTGGGTTTCTTTGAATGGTTTTGTTGATTCTTTTGTTGGGATATATATATGTGGTTATGGTGTCTTGTTTCTTTTTGTTCTGTTGGAAGCTAATATGAGTTGTGTTGTGAGTTATGAACCTCAAAGTGTAAACTGCTGAGGAGGTTTATATGCTTGTTGGTGTTTGTCTTATTTTTGTTGTATTTTTCGTTGCCTTTTTGTCTTATTTTTGTTGTATTTTTCGTTGCCTTTTTGTCTTTCTTTTTTCTCCATATTAGGTCTTTTATTTCGTTTTTAGTTCATTTTGTGTTTTTTTTTGGGTATTTTTCGGTTTCCTTTGTTATTGTCGTCTTGAGTGTTGTGCAGGTGATCGTTTTGATATGGGGGAGGAAATTATTTTGGTAAGCACCACAGCGCAACTGAGCCCGGGACATGAATCGACACAAGGAACGTGCTACTCACCCATGCACCACGCCCCGAAGTCTCTCCAACCGCCAAGAGATGCCTCTCCGGCGTTCGTTCACCACCTATCATCACAACACCATGCGTGAGTACCCACCAAGCTCTCCTCCCGGTTCGAGAAGACACCGGCGCTGCAAGATCTCTTCTGGCTGCTCCACCTACACGCAGCTGCACTTTATCCTCCACGACAGAATTCACCAACATGCCGCGGCGTTGCCACAAGTTGGACAGAAGATCCCTCACCCCCTGCCGCGCCGCGTCGGAGTGCCCCGTCATGAAGAAGAAAGCTCACCGTGTTGCGATGCCGTCACGTGATGGACATAGGCTCCCAAGGTCCCATGCGTCGCGTCGATGCAGCTGTCGCGCCGCGCCACTGCTCCCTACCGCGCCGCGATGACCTGCCACGCCGTGAGAAGACGACCACCGCGCCGAGAAGACCCGCCGCGCCGTGACGCCTGTAGCTGCTACGTCCGCGAGATGCAGCACGCCGGGAAGGTTCTCTCCGCCGCGCTGCGAGCCTGTCCCATGTCGTGAGAGAAGTCCCAGTTACCGTGTCGCGTCACTGCCGTGAGATGGACAGAGGTCCCGTACCTGCTACCCTGCCGCGGCGCGGGGCAAGATCCTTCTCCGTCGCGCCGCGATGAAGCTCTGCGCCGTGCCACCTGGTACTGCCGCGCCCGTGAGTCCCTTCCTCGCCGCGACTCCACACTGATATATATACAGAGTTCGGAAAAAGATCAATTGTTCATTCTTTCACGCAAATAAAAGACTGAACCCTACCTCTCTTCTTTCTCTCTCGTTTTTTACATTTTTCTTTCACCGTTTTTCATCGTGAACAAGGATTTGACATCGGATTTTGCTATTGCTTTCGGAATTAATCTTGTTTATCGAAGTCGGCATTGGGATTTGATCAATCGTAAGATTTCCTTTTAACTTTATCGTTAATTATGAATTCTTGGGGTGTGATGAATGCTTTCATTGTTTCTTCGACTATGAGTAGCTAAATCCGTAGGCTAGGGATAGGGGATTAATGTTTTGACTTCGATTGTGATTGTGGGATTCGATGATTGTTCGTCTTATGCAAATTGTTCTTTATTAGGGTTTTTCAATAATCGTACTTGAGTTTGAGAATTGTTGAAGAGTGACACTTCAACTCCAATTAATTCAATTGAGTTCGATTAATTCGTGTTTGATATTGGTGAATCATTTGATTAGTCGGTTAGCCACCTTCTATTCTTATTTTTATCGACTCTTAGAACCGAAAGGGGAGGAGTCGGTCGAAATAAGTTTGCATAAGCTAGGCTTGTTCGTAACTGTATTGCCTAGGAGTTAAATGACTTTGCAAATTGTCGTTCTAGTTTGTTCCCTTGTTACAAAGAGTTATTGAGGATGAGTACTAGAACGTGCAATTTATTCAAATCAATTAACTGAACAATCACTGACCCATTAATTGTTATTCGAGTCAGAACAAATATCTCCGACTCCCTAGCTTCTCAAATCTTGCTTGTTCTACGTATTAAATTGCTATTTTATTGCTTTAGTTAAATATCTACAGTAGTTGATAGTTGAAAACCAACCTTTAATCTGAATGAGAATGTCTAGGATTTTTATTTTCTCTTTTTGTGCTTGAATAAACGTACGACATATGCCGACTAACCTTCATCGTGAGACACGACCCGGTGTTCGAATCTTTCGATTCTACTCCGGCAAAAATATTTACAACAGTTGGATTGGATATCATTCATTTTTTTTTCCTTTTCTTGTGTTTGTATTTTGTGCCATATGAATTGTTGATGCTTGGCTAGCTTTGATATCCTTGTTTTAGTTTTTACTTTGGAGAATCTTGGTGAATATTCTTGAGTTGGTTTTTTCGGTTAACTTACATGAATGTTTTGTAGATGTTCTTTCTGTTAGCTTTCACTTTACTAAGATTAATGATCATTTGATTGAGTAAGAAGACTTCGACTTTTGGGCCATTTTGTTGGCCATGTGATATGTGAGAAAATGAAAGCTAACAGCGTGAGGTTTGTTAAAATTAAAACGTACGACATATTCCGACTAACCTTTCTCGTCAGGTTTGTTAAAACAGGAAAAACAACATAAAACACCAAAAAAGAGAAATAAATGCAAACAAGTGACAAACGCTGGATGAGCCGAAAAAAAAAAAACCTTGAATGGAGACAAAATACAGACAAAATACCCAACAAACCAATAATGAAAATAATAACACAAAAAGGACAAATAGGAGGTAAAACGGTCAAGAGGGCGGTAGATAGTAAAAAGTGAGGCGGTTTTTAGGACATGCTTGTTATAAATTCAATCCAAAAAAATCCAATTATTTTTAACTCAACTATTTTTTTTAATTCAACTTTAACTCAACCCACTATCATCAATATAATTAAATAATATCAATCAATCAACCCACTATCATCAATATTATCAATATAATTAAATAATATCAATTAATTATTCTTACACACAACATCAAACTTAATTTACTATTCATCTACACACATAATTTTAACAAATTATCACATCACATCTGTTCTCTCCTACTTTTACATCAATTTAATTTTAATCATTTTATTTTAAAAATTATTTTAATATACCCACTAACAATTAACCATACCAACTTTTTCAAATTTAACCAATTCAAACAAAAAACCCAATCAAAACTAAAAAAA